GTTCTTTCAGCTTTTCGTCAATCATGGCTGCAATCTCGGCTTGATTGGCCATCCTTCTTTTGGTCACCGATCGAGTATTATGAGGATGAGGGGGATCCTGGCAAATTACCTGGAAAAAGCAACAGTGGAATAAATACGACAAGTAAGAATAACGAGTCAGTCCATGACATCCTTTAGACCCTCAAGATGAAATTTCCTTCGAACAACCGATTCGTCCAGTAAATTTCAAATTGCTTTATTCAATAAAAACCTGGACTGATTCCAAAATTTACAAATTATAGCTCAACATTTTTCATGAAAAATGTCTCAAAAGAATTCTTATAAAAATCGTTCAGCAACATTTATTACCAAAAACATCAATAGCATGAAGTACAAATGTAAGCTAACATTCCATCCTAAAAGAAAGACAAACTCCCTAAACCAAACAAGAAATCAGACGGTCTTCCTCTTTTTAGAGGCCACGTGATCTATTGACGAATGGGCCTTCAAGGCACGCCGTAATCGTGCATTCTCTTCAGCCAGAGCATCTGCCTTATCTTGGGCCTTCATCGCCTTTTCTTCGCTGATTTTGATTTGAGTCTGAAGGGTATGCCGTACTGTCACGACCGGGATCTTCGGGAGTATCTCAGCAGGGATGGTATGATACTGAACATACCGGGCCATGGCAAAGTGACGCTTCATCCTTCCGGTGGGCTCATCTGCGGGCCAAATCAGCTTCTGAGTGGAACAATTCTGCCAAGCTTCAGAATGACGCCTAAGCTCGACTCTGTAGGACTCTCCTTTCTCGAACTGGACTTGAAATTCATTGGGCCCGAGTGGAGGTGGGACATCCTGCAGAACTCGGAATTGACGTGTAACTCGAAGGGGCTGATAGCAGGTTACCCCATAAATGCCCATCAAAGGTACGGGCTTCTGATCGCCATGGTATAGTCGAGCCTCAACCTCCTGAAACCACACAGCTTGCCAATGGAAAATCTTAGAGCTTGGATCCTTGAACAGATGGACCCATTGTGTATAGTGCAAGCTCTTAGTTTGATCTTGTATTTGTTTGAACCTTAAAATAGGGTTATCAGTCATGTCCATTTCAAATACAGTCATATTTTCCCCAAATTGAGAAAGGTGTGAGAAAAGCCAGATTTGTAAAAGCTCAATCGGGGCTCGAAAAGCTCTATCTTTTCCTTTCTTGAATCGTGTCAGAGATATGAAAGTTTCTACCAGAATTGTGTTTATAAAACTAACTCCACCACATATTTGTTTTACCGTCCAAGCTATCACCGGATCAATAGCATTTTGACGGAATGGAAAAACGATGAGTCCAAAAAAAAAACTAAGATAAAAATTTTAGATCTCATGAGGACGGAGTTATTTTCGAAACATTCAATAAGAAAAGATAATGGGCATGCTTGACAATTACCCTTTAGCACTTTTTCAATTTCCTTTTTAGTCAAATTCAAAAATTCAGCAAGCACTACCACAGGATCTACCTTAATGGGTGGTTCAACTATATCCAACTCAATCGATTTCCCAATGGCAATACTGCATTCTTCCAGAGTCGGTGTGAGCTCAAACTTACCTCCCAACACAAATGTGGTTGTCTCGGGGCACCAAAAATGAGCGAGTGCTTGCATGATCCCGCTCTGAACATCTATGTCTAGGATTGGCAGCATGAATCCAATACGCTTGAGAACGTACTGCTGACCATCTGGCTTCAACTGGCTCCATAACTTCTTGAGCTCTAGCTTCGGAGTAGGCACGAAACGGATATCGAGGCGACCCATTCTTATATAGACCACGTGCCAAAAGACTCAACCTAAACCATGGACCGACTCAAAATAAGATACAGAAAACCAACGATAAAGCTCGAGAAATTACCGTCTTGGGGAAAAATGTCAATCACAGAGACATGCACATGAATAGTGAGTTTAAATCTTAATCTATCTATCCTAATGGCTTTTGCAAAGTGAAATGATGAATGGAACGACACGTCGCAGCCTCGCGTACAATCATCATGACTAGTCGCGGCCTCGCATACCATAGTCATGACTAGTCGAGTCCAATCACTTCGGCTTGGTTCGGTCGACAAGGGTAACCTCCATGCATTGTAGCCTCACGTGCACGAGGACGACCCTTGAGCCATTTTTTGAAAAAAATTTCGGGATCCAAATGGGATAACCTTTAGCGAAGTCTAATCGCTAAGGTTAAAGAACCATCCAAATACCATCTTAAAACTGTGGGTGTGACCCAGGTCCAGTCACAGGTTGTGTGTGGTGTAGTGCAAATACTGTAAATCATGTACAACAATTATATGCAAACACCACTTCAATAGTACAAAAATTAAATCACAATTCCACTCCACCAAGCCTGCAAAACAAAGGGTTAGCCAATCACTACTCCCCTTATAACTCCCATCCTGCAAAACCATTTAACACCTAAGAATGAGAATTCAATCAAATTTTGTCAAATCGAGTGATTTTTCCATAAAAAATTTTTGGCCTAAGTCCTCCTTAAATTTTTTTTAAAAAAAATTCAAGTTTGTCCCCAGTGGAGTCGCCAAGCTGTCGCGACCTAGAAAAAATCGGGTTTTCCGATTTTAGGCTAATGGATTACTAGATCAATTAAATTAACTAACCTAGTTCGAGTTCTCCCAAACTCTACCAATTCGCAACTTAGATCCAATTATGAGCATGCAAATATTTTCAAAGGGAGTCGCCACTAATCATTTAAGGTAGGTTGATTAGAAACCTAAATAAAATAGCGGGAGTACTATTTTATTTCTGCGAATCATAAATTATGGATTCGGGGACTTGGTTACGCTAGATTCCCTAACGCCCTTTCGGTACCAATTTCAAGAAAAATACTTAATTTGACAATTTTGATAAATCTTGACTTAGAGTTCAAAGGTGCAGAAATTTTCTTTTTTGATTTTTTTTATTTATTTAAATGAAAGCTAACCTATATGTAATGGCGTGCAAAAAATTGACATGCGATTAATGCAACCTAACATGCAAACTATATGTCATGCGACGACGTGACCTATTTCTAATGACGGGCATATTATTTTTTGTATTTTTTTCTTTAATGAAATTCGGAATTAAAAATGCCAATTATCTAAACATGCAATTTTAAACTAAAGAAATTAACCTATTCTAGAGTAATATTTTTGGCATTTTTTTTATCAAAATTCGAAATTAAAATCAAGTAAAAAAAATATAACCGCTAAATCTTTCGAATTAAGTTTCGATCTGAAGCCTCACAGATCGATCCTAAAATTCGAAATACCCTCTATGGAAATAACTCTATCTAAAGCCTGATAGATAGATTTATTTCCACGTGCGCGGTTGCGGATTAGGAAATTTTCCTAATCGATCACATCTTGAAAAATTTTAGATATCTTAAATATCTTGGATATATTCAAAAGATTTTGAAAATTCTAAATTCTATCCAAATTTGAAAAGTAATAGATATCCAAGATTTCAAAAAAAAAATCCTAATTGGAATAATGCTTATTATCCAAATATGCAAGATTAGATATCAATAAGCACAAATTAGACAACAAAATATTCAAACCAAATCGGGATAAGATAATTACCTAATTTGCAGATTTCTTTCCAAATTTGAATTTGCAGCGGATCGGGATTGCGGATCAAGATGGTGACCGGCGGTGCGTCAGGAGCGGCGGCGCGGTGTCGGGAGCGGCGATGTAGCGACGTGGGCAGTACAACGGCGGTGCAGCGGCGATGTCATGGCAGCGGGCGTGCAGCGGCGACGCGGCGGAGACAGCGGCGGTGGTGCAGGGGACCAACGGTGGGTTGCTGCTGGTGCTTGGCTCGATTCGATGGCCTGACTCGTAGAGACTCGCAAACGGCGGTGGTTGTGGGACTTGCGGCTACTAGCGGTGGAACCCGCAAGAAAAGAATTAAACACGGTGAAGCTTCGTGGGGCGTTGGCCGAATCGCCGCGGCAAGGAGGCCGGCGTTGCTCGAGTCCACCGCAGGGAGGCTGCTGCGTTTGTGATCAAAGCTTGCTGCTCGCAGCAAGAACACTTTGAAAGACTTGTTATTTGTGGATCGAAACGCTGTTTGCTCGTAGTGCAAGGGCTGGACGCGACGTCGAAGGTGCTTTTCGAGGTAGTCCCCGGGGAAAACCGACTCAAAACCATCAACCAAAGAGAAGCCGAAGTTCACGGCTCCGGTGTATGTCGGTGAGCGTCTCTCCCTTGTGAGATCAACATTTGGACTTGGTGGTGATCGAAAACCCACAAGGACTAGTTGATTCGATGAGGGAGGCACCGCTGTCAAGCGACTAGGGAATAACCATGGAAGGGAGGCCGAGAGCTTCGCTCTTTCTCTCCAGTTCAACCTTCTTGTTCTCCTCTCTATATTGTCTCACGCCTCCCCTTCGCTTTTTTTTTTTCTGACGCTTTTTCTCTCCCTCTCTCTCTCTCTATGGCCGTGTGTCTCTCGTGTTTCTTGTGTGTGTCAGATTCCAAAAGACCAGTCCCCCAGATTATGAGACATAAACATATATTTATAGTAAAACTTTTCACATTTTCCCGCCTCTGATCCTGATCACGCGGGTACTGTTCACTTTCTCTCCCGTTTTCTGATTTTCGCGGTACTGTTCACTCGCCCAGAAGGTGCGCCTCCTGGGGTGTTCCAGCCACCGTTTGTGGCTGTAACTTGGTGGCTAGACTCGCAAGGTTAGCCTTTCACTTTCTCCCGCTTGAATATAGAGATCATTGTGTCTGCTACTCGGGAGAACAGATCTGGAAATTTGGGTTTCTGGTTTTCTGGCTTGCTGTCGGTTTTGGGGGATTATCTGGGCGATACTTCCTGGTTCTCGGATCAATCCTCTGCATTCTGCTAGTCTGGGGGTGGGTTGAATCTTTAAGACGGGGGTAGAATCCTTACTTGAATTTACCCAGAATCTGAGCTGGGTGCTGCTCGACTGGGTTTGAAACGTACCCTCTGCTATATGGCTCCCCTCCTTCAAAGCTGACCATGACTGAAAAGCAAAGTTCTGGGGATCCCTTACCGCGTCTGAAGGGAAACATGGAGCAGGTTGTCCCGCTGAAGGGACCTTCTAAGCCTCCCACACACAATGCTGGCCCGTCTAGAGTCAGTGCCCTATCTGACCATTCTGGGAAAACAGAGCAACCTGCTGTTCAACCAAAGAAAAAGTCTGTATATGTGGCTCATCATGAGCAACGAAATTCTCGGGGTCGAAGTAGGGGCCGTTCCAGGTCCAACAGACGCCCGTCTGATGCTGGGATCGCCTTAGTCCCTCCAAGTGACCGATCTCATCGAAGTCGAAGCAAAGGGGCAGCATCTTCCAAGGATCCCCCTCAGGGAATGAAGCAGCAAATAACCCAGAAATCATGGGCGATGGTTGCTAGAACGATGGAAAAGGGGTATGGCCTCTCCTTTATACCTCCAACTATTGTTGATGGCAAACATGTTGTTAGAATATCTGATCATATATTGGAAGAAGCTAATCCGAAATGGAAAGAATGTATCGTTGGATACTTTGTGGGGAAAAAACTCCCCTTCAAGTTGACAGAAACAGCAATCAAAAATGTCTGGGGGTCAAATGTTATTGAAGTCTTAGCTAATCCTGATGGTTTCTTTTTTTTCCACATTCCGGACGAATTCTATCGTCGGAAAATTCTGGATGGGGGGCCTATAACCATTCTCAGAGTCCCCATGATGTTACAGCAATGGCATCCTACTCTGAAACTAGTGAAAGACCAGCATAAGTCTCTTCCGGTTTGGGTGAAGTTGAGGGACATGCCTGTCTCCCTCTGGTCAGCTACTGGTATTAGTGCTGTTGCCAGTGCAATCGGAAAACCTCTTCATGTTGACCTTCAAACAGAGAAGATGAAGATGATATCATACGTTAGAGTGTGCATCGAAATTAGTGCTACACAAAATCTGGCTGACTCCATTGACATTTATATGAATGAGGAAATCTGGAAGATCAAGGTTGAATATGAATGGCGCCCAATCTCGTGCACGACTTGTGGCATCTTTGGGCACAAATGTCCTCCCACAAGTGTGATACCATCTGGGCCTTCCACAGAGCCTAGTCCTCCTATTAGTGCTGATAAAGCCCCTCACAACGCTGATTCATGGCAGACGGTGAGAAACAAAAAGGGCATTCCCCGCAATATTTCAGTAAATAATGCCTCCCCTGATAGTGGTGATCTCTCGGTCCCCCTCCAGATTTCTCAAAAAGGGGATCGCCAAACCCACCAGGTCAATGCAGGGACCTCTTTGGAATCCTCACCGGATTCCTCTGACTCGGAAGACCAGATAGGTGATCATGGTAGCAATGTTGGTGGTGAATCTGAGGATGAGTCTCCCTCCCCCCTCCCGACTATAACTCAACGCAAAGCTCCATTGAATCAAGCCGAAGTGCCAGCTAGCCGTCCCTCTACTTCTGGAATGGCCGACTCTTTGGCTGCAATCTCGACGGATGATGCTGATCTTGCTACCAAAGACCATCCTGTGCCTGTTACTAGGGGCCCAGTTCAAGAGAGCAGTCCCACAACTGCTAAGGCGGCCAGCCGTAAACCAAAAAAACGGGCTGGCACTAAAAGGAGGTAATTTCTCTAGACCCTTCCTTAATGTTTTTTGGCGTCTGGAATATTAGGGGTCTGGGCGACTCCATTAAACAGGCAGAAATAAGAGCCCTCGTTAGAGCTCACAATTTATCCTGTCTTGGCATCCTTGAGACAAAGATTAATCCGACCCTTTTTGAATCCCTCTCCATTGGACTCGTGCCGGGCTGGGAGTGGAAGACCAATAATGATCTTTCGCCGCGTGGTAGAATATGGATTGGGTGGAATCCGCAAGAAATAGACCTCCAAGTCCTTTCTAGAACCACCCAAGTTATCCATGGTCGGGTTCGTTTGTTGGCACTAAATAAGACTTGTCTGTTTTCGGTTGTTTATGGAGAGCATACTTTTGTGGCTCGCCGTGCTCTTTGGGCAGATCTTGTGCTTTCAAGTAGTCTGTTTGAAAATGAACCTTGGCTGGTTGCCGGGGATTTTAATGCTATAAGGGACAACTCTGATAGAATGGGTAGTTCTAACGCATGGTTGCCAGCCTTTGATGATTTCGGCATTTGTTTGGACCAAGCTGGTCTTGATGACCTGAGATATACTGGCCACCGGTTCTCTTGGTCAACTACAGTGGGAGTAAATCGCAAGCAAAGGAAGATTGATAGGGTGCTGATTAATGCTAACTGGACCAGCTCGTTCTCTTATTCCGAGGCAAACTTCTTGGCTTCCGGAGTTTCTGATCACTCCCCGATGATCATCAGAATTGAACATGCAGTCTCATCGAGAAAGCCATTCAAATTCTTCAATTTTTGGCTATCTCACCAGGCTTTTCCGGATATTGTTAAGCAAGTGTGGGAGTCTCAGATCACTGGAACTCCAATGTTCCGGCTGTGCCAAAAACTCAGAATTCTAAAAGGGAGACTGAAGCAGTTGAATAGAGACTCGTTCTCTGACATTTCGGCCCGCACAGCTCAAGCAAGAGAGATGCTTACGTCCACCCAAGATTCCTTAGCTTGTGATCCTTCTAATATGGATTTGGCGAACCTTGAAAAGGAGCAGCTTCTCATCTTTTCCAATCTACGTCTCCAGGAGGAAGCTTTTTACAAACAAAAATCGAGGATAAGATGGCTGAATGATGGGGACTTGAACACCAAATATTTCCATCATTTCGTCAACAAGCGACAGCATAGCAACCGTATCCTCTCCGTCTCGGACTCTAATGGTGTCCTCCTTTCAGACCCGACATTAGTCCATAACCATATTATCTCGCATTTTCAGACTCTATTATGCGCAAGAGATTCTGATGATGCAAGAGATTCTGATGATCGGCCTTCCTATGCTGACATCCAGCCTATGGTAGCTCGTACTCTCAGTAGTGAACAAATCAACCTGTTATCCAAGGAGGTCTCGGAGTCCGAAATTCGTAAGACTCTCTTCTCCCTTGCCAAAGGTAAGGCCCCGGGGCCGGATGGGTACAATGTTGACTTCTTTATCTCCTCTTGGCAAGTCGTTGGGCCGTCGGTTATATTGGCTATTAAGGATTTTTTTCAGTCAGGCTGCATGCTAAAGGAGATCAATGCCACTATTATTACACTTGTCCCCAAGGTTTCAAATGCCACGGGAATGAACGACTTTAGACCAATTGCATGCTGTAATACAATTTACAAGTGTATAGCCAAAATCCTGGCTAACCGAATTGCTGCTGTGTTGCCGTCAATTATAAGTCCTCAGCAGAATGCTTTTGTAAAGGGTAGGAGAATAGGAGACAATATACTCCTCGCACAGGAGTTATTTGCAGGCTTTCACCATGAACCCTATCTACCTAAGTGTGCCATCAAAGTTGATTTCCGTAAGGCTTATGACACTCGTAGACTGGAATTTTTGAAATCGCTCGGAAGTCTTTGGGTTCCCTACGATGATCACGAAACTTGTTATGGAATGTGTCACTTCTCCTAAATTCTCGATAGCTATCAATGGAGAATTACATGGTTTCTTTGCGAGTGGAAGAGGAATACGGCAAGGCGACCCCCTATCTCCATACCTGTTCACGCTGGTTATGGAAATATTCTCTGGAATTCTGAATTCACAAACTAGGCTCCCGGGTTTTAAATTCTACTGGAGATGTAAGCCCTCTTGCCTAACACACATGTTCTTTGCCGATGATGTCCTTCTATTTTTAGAGGGAAATATCACATCTGCCACCCTCCTTAAAGAAGGGATTCAGCTCTTCTCCAAATGGTCGGGTCTTTACCCGAACCCCAACAAAAGTGAAGTGTATTTTTCTGGTGGAGCTGCAGATACTAAGGATCGTATTCGGGCTACCTTGGGTTTTATTGAAGGCACTCTCCCTTTCCGTTACCTCGGGGTACCCATCCTCGCTTCGAGGATAACGAAAGCGGATTGTAACTCGCTTGTTAACTCCATAACGGCTCGGGCACGCTCTTGGTCCCATCGTTTTCTGTCTTTTGCTGGGCGTCTGCAACTAATCAGGTCTGTTCTCTATGCTATGCAAGTATATTGGACCAATGTCTTCACTATCCCCCAATGCAGGCCGCATAGAATAGAAATGATTCTTCGGCAATTTTTGTGGAAAGGTCCCGAATTGGGTATTGGGGGGCAAAAGTCTCATGGAATGAAGTCCTGTTTGCCTAAGGAAGAAGGTGGGTCAATTTGGCATTCGTAGGTGTTCGATTGCAATAGAGCATGATGTTAAAACACATATGGATTCTATTTTCGGATAAAGAGTCCTTATGGTGCAAATGGATCCATTCTACCTTCCTCAAGAATAAAAACTTTTGGTTGGTACCGAAGCCCACCTTCTGCTCTTGGGCTTGGAAGAAAATCCTGGATCTACGGTCCCAATTTCGACTGCAATTTCGTTGGCATATAGGTGATGGCTCATCTGTATCATTTTGGTTTGATAATTGGCACCCTAAAGGCCCTCTTTATGAATTGTTCTCTAATAGAGAAATATATTCCTCTGGCATCCCGAGAAGTGCAACTGTCCAGGATTTCTTTTGCTCTTCATGGCATGCATCTTCATTCATGGGAAGTTTCAACTCATGGACTGACCCATTACCAATAATCGGTGACAGTCCCGATACCTTCATCTGGCAAAGCCATTCTACTGGGACATTTTCCACAGCATCGGCGTGGGAGTTCATCAGAACCAAGAGACCAAAAGTGTTCTGGAGCTCCTTTATTTGGGACCGTAGCATTGCACCAAGGTATGCCTTTTTTCTGTGGCTTATCTCCAAAAATAGACTCCCAACTCAGGTTGTGTTACTCAACTACAACAGAATTTCGGAAGCTGTTTGTGCATTCTGTAAATGTAGACCGGATTCTATAGACCACTTGTTTTTTGGTTGCCAATGCACGGGATCCCTTGCATTGTTCTGGGCAAACACTTGCAATCTCTCTTGGAGGAACAAACCGTGGGTAGATAATCTCCGCTGGGCAAGCAAATACATTCGTAACGACTTCCATCATCGGATAGCTCGGTTCTCTCTTGGTGCCTTGTGCCACATTATCCGGTCCGAACGGAATCATATACTTTTCAGGGAACAAGGCGATGTTCCTACCAGCCATGCGCAATCATCTTGTAAAGGTTGTTCGGGATAGAGGGTTATCTATGCATCCTGTTCAAGACACTCGCCGCAACAGGAAAATACAAACTAATTGGGGCATTTCCTCGTCCATATTCGCGTAACCTGCTGATGCGGTCTTTGTATGTATTTTTCTTAGTTAGTTGGCTGTCTTTTCAGCCTTCTTGCTTTGCTTCCGTACCTTGTTTAGCCTAACACCTTTGCACCTGTTGGGACACTTAGGTGTCGCTCTATGTGCGGGGTTTTTGTGTTTGGCTACAATCTTTGTAAGCTTCGGTTTGAAAAGTTAATACAATCCTTACCTTACCAAAAAAAAAAAAAAACATATATTTATAGTGTAAACCTAGGTCAATTAGCCGGGCTTTCTAGTCCTAATGGGCTTAAGTTTAGGCTTTAATTTAATTCTAAGTGGGCTGAATTAACTTGGACTTTTCTTTAATTAAGCATAATGGGCTAATTTAAGCTCAAATTAAGACAACCAAGCCCTTTTGCATGTGATTTTCGGCCCATGCTTTCCGAGTGAGCCGAGTCTCGTTCGGTGCCCGAGCTCGATTTACGTGATGAATTTTAAGCTCGCTCACCACCGCCGATCCGATGCGAAATGCAGTTAATCTATATGAACCTAAACTTTATGCTATGCGATTTGTAATATTTTTATTCATGGGTTAAAATTTAATCCCTAATTTTCTATGCAATTAACCACTAAATGATGCGCCGAAATTTAGGTGTCAACACTCACAACTCAATCTCAGGACCTATTCCACAAGATATTGGCCAAGCGATGCCTCATTTGGATTCCTTGTATCTGAATGATAATCTCTTAAGTGGTCCAATACCCACCTCATTATGCGAGATGGAGTATCTGTCCGAGTTGCACCTCGGAAGGAATGAATTAGTTGGCGAAATTCCTGCATGTTGGAAGGAGAACCCTTGGAGACTCCTTGATTTATCATCTAACAAGTTGTCCGGAGTCATGCCAAGCTCTTTGGGAAATTTAACTGGGCTTATGTCAATACATCTGAACAACACCAGTCTCAATGGAGAAATTCCTGCGACCATGATGTATTGTAGGAACTTGCTGATTTTGATCTTGGCGAGAACAAAATCTCTGGAAACGTTCCGCATTAGACTAGACCAAGCTTTCAGCTATTACAGATTCTTAGACTGCAAGAAAACATATTCAATTGTAGTGTTCCTTCAAAGCTATGCTTACTCTCCGAACTGCAAATATCGAACTGTTGGACCTAGCAGTGAACAATCTGACAGGATTGATTCCACATTGTCTTGGCTATACGAAAGGAATGAAACTGAACAAAAGCATAGATGAAGGCAACTCACTCTCCCCTATCTATGCGGCCACACCTCAGGTGACGTCTACTATCGCTCCCACAGATTGGACTCGAGCATGTGGAGCAGGTCGTGAAGGGGATGAACCTTGACTACCCAACACTTGATATACAACTTATGGTCAATTTGGATCTCTCAAGCAACAAATTGATTGGACCGATCCCTGGAGAGCTTACCTTGCTTTCCAGATTGCGAAGCTTGAATTTATCGCGCAACTTTCTTTCTGGAGGCATACTGACTATGATTGGAGACATGAAAGCACTCTAGTCACTTGATCTTTCAGAAAATCACATTTCAGGAACAATCCCACAGAGCCTTTCTTCATTCACATTTTTTTGCAAACTAAACTTGTCTCACAACTTCACGGGACCAATTCCGAGAGGAAATCAAATCCAGACCTTGACGATCCTTCCATTTATGCCAACAGTCCTCTACTTTGTGGCGATCCTCTACAAAAGAAATACCTCGGTGCGGAGGCCCCTCAAGCGCCAGAAGAAGATGCCAATGAAGAAGGTAAGCTTGAAAAGGTGATGTTCTACCTTGTCATAATGCTTGGGTTTGCAACCGGGTTTTGGGGAGTTGTTGGTGGTTTGGTGTACAAGAAGAATTGGAGACGCGTGTACTTCGGCTATGTGGATCGGAAAGCAGACATGGTGTGCGTGATTGTCATAGTGAAGATAGCCGAGTTGAGGAGGAGATTCAGAAGCGTAATAGGCATGTTCTCCACATTAGTCAGTACAATGCTTCATTGATCTCTTGAAGTTCTTGCCTTGTTCAAGCAGAATCGTCTTAGTAGTTGGCTTGTTCCTCCTTATGAGTAGCCAATTTTTTGTTTTCTTTAATTTCAAGCTTGTCCGAGCGAGCCGTCAACGGAACGGCATGGGGAGTGCAAATCATGTCACTTGGTAATTTTTAGTGTTGCTCAGCAATTTAGCAGTACTTTGAGTTATTATACTCATGGTGTTTTGCTTGTCAATGATGTGAAATTATGTTAGCAAGTTCCATTTTCGTCCTGTTTATGCTTTTGCTGCTAATTGCATGTCGAGGGTATTACAAAATCAGGACGTTGAAATCATCAATGGCATAGGGCCGTTCAATGTTAGATGTGTTCCTCTCCTAAGATTATATTTCCTTTCTCAATTTCAAGACATCGGAAAAATATTTGCATGTAATCCAAATCACAATGCTAATTAACTGCGAGTCACTCATCAACTTCTCTACCTAGCGACTCCGATTTTTTTGTTCCATAAATTAAAAAAAGAGCATTAGGGTCTCACAATTGCGTCAGCAAGGTAAAACATTAGTCTTAACCCTGTTAATTGGTGTTGGTCGGGACAGATTGAAATGGGCCTCAACAACGGCGGGCCCCCAATTCTTGGATCACGAGGCCAGTGAACGATTGTTTAGGGTTAGGCTTTCTCTCTTCGCCCTTAAGATCCAGCCACTGCGTCCTTCTAACTTGGACTCAATATTGCATGCGATTTTAATTTAAACTTGCCCTTTTTGCTTTCTTTGTTATGTTGTTAACGAAATCTTAACGGCGAACGTTTAAGAATCGAGTGAGAAGCTTGCATCAAAGCGCTCCTTTCGTGCGAGGCTCCGACTTACTATGGTCAATACATGTGTCCTGTAAAATCTTCTATTGAGAGCTAGTCTTTTCGAAACTCGAGTGGTCATGCAGAAAATTAGCATTTAGATCTCGTTGTAAATGATCAAATGGACGGTTGATCTAGGAAATGACGGGACCAACAAATTACCGCCTTTTTTCGGAAACAATTACACTTCTCATTTGCACTCTGTTAAATCATCAGTTGTAAAATTAGCCCACATATAATCTGACCAATAATCAATCTCCGATGTGTGGTACACCCCGAGAAATGGATCTATAGTAAGACCTAAAATGCCATATGAAATAGGAGAAGGTTTGAAATATTATTGAGACACCATTAAATCGTCACCATTTGAGTGCTCCTTTCGAAAAAAGTTTCTTCTCATGTAGACTAG